ACCGCATGGTCATGCGAACTACTTGACCTCGACATAGCTTCTCTTCTCTGCTGATTTCAGATGTCTCTCAAGGTGTGCTCAATCTCTGGATCGTAGACTAGGTCTTCTCTCCGAGTAGAGCTACGTGTCATGCACTAGAACCCTGCAAACCGCAAAGAAAAGGAAGGACTCGAGACCAAGTGAAGCCACAAAAATGAAAGAAAAACAAAAAGAAAAAGAAAATCAAGCAAAGATCTAGAATCAATAAAGACCTAGAAACAGGCTAATCAGTCCCCGGCAACGGCGCCAAAAACTTGATACGTGTGTATCGAGTCTAGAATTTATAACCCGATTCACAACTCACCGCAAGGATACGGATCGTCGTAACACGGGGTCGAACACAAGGACCGGTAGCTAAGTCTAAATCCTAATTGAAACTAAATCGAAGCAAGCAAGTGAAAGTGATGGTGGAAGTATATGGAAAGAATAGAAAATAAAGAAGCAAAGCAATAAAAACGTGTAAACTAGCAAGTAAGGATGACCGTGGGTGTCGGGACCGTATTCGCGTGTCTGGGTATATGCTAAGCATGCGAGAATCACGATATTGAATCTGTATTCGGGAATCGTCAAGCAACAAAGATAGAGAAATCACCTCCCGGCATATAACTCACTATCTAAAGTTCTCTAAATTCATATCCCTGTGTGATTTATCAAACTAGATGCATGAAGAACACTATCATCAATGCTAGATCGATCAAACCATATTCCTATGTGAATAATACGATCTATTCTATCGATTTCGATCCGAAACTAAACCCATATTCCTATGTAGTTCATAATCTGAAATAATTGGCCAAGGGGTCAGCAAACACCAATCGAATAAAGCACAAATCGATAAAACCGAAACAAATCCAAATCGTAACCAAGTTAGGGTTCAAACATACCCAAAACACAAACGAATCCCTAACCCACAGCCGTGGATCTACTCACGGTTCATGGAAAAACACTGAGCAAAACCAGAAACAGAAAGAAAAGAGGGAGAAGAAAGACTCATGTCGACAGCAAGCGATCTTCACGTTCCAACTCTCCTTCTTCTTCCCGAAATCCCGTAAAACTCCTATTTCTCTCACCAAAGCTCTCCAAAGTCTGTATAAAGTCTGTCTCTCTCTCTAAGACGTCTGTAGAGTCTTTTTATAAACCCTAGGCGGCGCTCCCCAAGGCCTACTCCCGTTCCAACTCTGAAAATACGAATCTGGGCTTTTTCTGGGTTTTGACTCGGACCGAGTCAGTAGTCTGACTCGACCGAGTCAAAACGAGATTATTAAGAATTCGGCCCAGCCCATTCTTCTGACTCTAGGTGTCTGACTCGGGGTATCTGACTCGGGCATTCTGACTCGGGGTATATGACTCGGGGTGTCTGACTCCAGCCGAATCAAGAAGGAAGCTCTTGACGTATTTCATCCCTTTAGCTCCAGATTGCTCCCGTTTTGGTCCAAATCGCGTCCGAGACCTGTAATCCTATAAAAACACAACCAAACCGAGTTTCGTGGCCTAACGCGCCAATAATGCCTACAAATGAACATGATCCTCATATAAATCCTATAAAAACGTCCAGGAAATATAGAGAGAATTAGGAGTTATCAGCGGTCGCTCGAAAAATGGGGTTCGGGAGGAACGAGCGGTCAGCCTGTAATGGCGAGCGACCGCTCGTTTCTCATCTTCGGCAAGTGGGCGACCGCTCGAAAAACCGAGCGGTCCGCCCATTTTGTCTGTGATAAAATTTTCTGAACCGATTTCGGGGAGACGCTGCATAAAATTGATGCCCGACAAGATTTACAACTTTTAAACACGTCAAAACATCATATATAAACATCCAAAGATCCAAAAGAGGGGACATAAGTTAAGAGTTCTAAACACACCAAAACATAGCACCACGGGGAATATAAAGCATTCTACCCTAGAAGTGATCGAATCAAGGGGCTGTCCTCTTGCTCCCCTTGCTGGCTCCGGATGCGGAAGAGCCCTCGGTCTCACTCCCCCGAGCTGATCCTCCAGCGTCAGAATCCTCGCCATCTATGATCCGCTCTACGGTCCGTATAATCTCGCGCTGGGCACTCTCGATGGATGCGGTGAGTGTGGCTTCGAGGGTGCCCATCTGGTCCTCCATAGACTCCTCGAGAGAGGTGAGCCGGGTGCCGAGCGCCTCAACTGCAGAGAGCCGAGTATCGAAGCTCTCTAGCTTCTGCAGTATAACATCTAATCAAGGATCGGGAGTGGAGCTCGCTTGACCCTCGGTGCCCGATGTTGAGGGATCAATCGTCCTCCCCTTTCCAGCTCTTATCCGAGCTGGCGCAATGTCAAGGAAGTCCAGTCGAAGGGTGGTGGCCGTGAACGTCTCGATTTGCTCGCATGGGAGCGAGAGGCATCGTGTTAGCCCATCTCTTCCCTTAAAGATCCAATCCCATCCTTTCCTCTCGATATGTCCTCAAAGCCTGAGGGCATCCATGTCGAGGAGAATGCGGTCATCGACTATGTCGGCTTGGTAGAATGAGATCCCCGTGTCCACTCGTTGGGCGATCTTCGTGATCATCCCGCCCACGCAAATGCATGTCTCATTGGCTTTGGTGGTTGCCAATGTGTGGAGGTGCATGGCTATCCGTGAAGCTAAGTCCATGGAGCCCGTCCATGGAGCCCGGACACACGAGTCAAGAGATGGTCCGTTGTGGAATTCCCGCAATGCCTGGTAGAGATAACCCAGCTCGATCTTGTGGATCTTGTCGGGTTCGTCTCGTGCGAATACGAAGTTGGACATGATGGAATGAACGTAGCAGATAGCCGGGTGCTGAATCCATGAGATTTTCCCCGCCGAGCTCGAGTAGTGATAGACGGCTATCTTCTTCCAGAAGTCTTGGAGGGCATATGCTGAGATGGTTGCAATGAGGGAGTGCTTCCCTTTCGGGACTTCCAATATGTCAGCAAATTGTCCCATACTCAGCCTAACCCATTTCTTGTTCAGCCGAAACTCCATATAAGCCTCATCGATTGAGCCGTCAGATGGGAAGTAGCATGAATACGTGGCCAGGAACTCACGGATTACAATCTTGAATGATGGTTCGACGCTTCTGCTCAATGCCCCCCAGCCGAGCTTCTCGAAGATGTATTCAACGTTCGCTTGAATTCTCAGTCTTCGAACTGTGTGCTCACACATAAACTTACTCGGGCGTTGCTTGAGCTTTGACAAGTGTTTCGCTCGCGCGTATGCTTCATCGTGGCTGTCAATTTTGACCAGCTTTGGTGGTCCTTCGATGAGGAGGTTTTGCTTCGTCTCCAATATTGCTGTGTTTGTTCCCGGTCTCATCTCTCTCCTTGGAGAGAATTCGGCCTCTCGTGATGATGAGGCGACGTCGCTTGTTCGGGCTCTTTTCGGTGCCATCTGCAAAGGTATAGTCGATATGGATCGAGGCATTGGGGTTAGGGTGAAGAAAATCGAACGATTTTTCGGAGATCAGAGAAAACAGGCGGTCGCTCGTTTTACGGGCGATCGCTAGATCGACCGCTGGTAAAAATCAGGCGGTTGCCCGAATAAAACAAGCGACCGCTCACTGGTTCGGAAAACCGATTCTTCGGCCGGAAATCGGGATTTTCCGGCCGAAATTGACCAAAATCAACCCTAGTATCTATACCCATCAAGATTTTTGACCTATCCTTATCCTAAACACTCCAATGTATCTGTTTAGAGAGAGAGAGATTACCGAAACGAGCGGAGGAAGACGAGAGCGAGGGAGGTCGAACGAGGGGAGGCATCGGGGCAAGGCGTCGGGAAATCGGAGAATCGGAGCGGCACGATGTCGGACGGAGGCGAAACGGATACATGAGTGGGTATAGGGTTTCGCCGGCGAGAGAGAGAGAGAGAGAGAGGAGTGTGTGACGGAAGTGGCACTCTCTCTCGAAACCGAGTTAAAAACTCGGTTTTCGCGAGTAGGCGGTCGCTCGATCTCTCAAGCGACCGCTTGAAATTCTTGTTTTTTTTCGAAACAGAGCAGGCGGTCGCTCGACAAAACTGAGCGACTCCTCCATGCGGAAACCAAAACGGGCGGTCACTCATTAAATGAAGAGGTCCGATTAAGATTTTTCCCGTTTCTTGCTCCCCCGACGAAAAGACACGGTTGTATGAGAGTGGATTGGAGGGTTTGGAGCCTTTCTAACGTAAAAAAAAGAAAAAATGAAGAGGTTCGAAGAATTTACATCCCGGGGTTAACCGGGGTTGCTAGTTAAGGTCGTAGCTAGACCGAGATGGCGTTCAATCAATCAAAGAAAGGAAGAGTACAGAGGTACCTCCTCCCGGCTTGGTATTTCCTGGATTATACTGTTTGATTCTTTGGGTGTTGACCATGAATGAATCGCCTTTCCCGTTGTCGAGTTCCACCGCTCCATGCGAGGTGACGCTCCTTATGATGAAGGGTCCCGACCATCTTGATTTCAACTTACCTGGAAAAAGCTTTAGTCGAGAGTTAAATAGAAGCACGAGGTCACCTTGTTAGAAGTTTCGGTTGAGGATATGACGATCATGCCACTTCTTGGCCCGCTCCTTATAGATTCGTGTGTTCTCGTATCACTACAAAAAAACAGTTATATAGCGACGGAAAAATCCGTCGCAAATATAAAGGAAATCCGTCGCAACTAAGAATTTGCGACGGAATGCGACGGACTTATTTCCGTCGGTATAACGCTGTCGCAAACGTATAACGGTCGTTAATCCGTCGCAAAAGTGCGACGGAAAAAATCTGCGTTTTGCGACGGAAAGTGACGGATAATTCCGTCGCAAATTGCGACGAAATTTTTTCCGTCGCATTCCGTCGCAAATGTTTTAAAAAATTAAAAAAAATATAAAAAAATTATATACTATATACACATACATATATATATTTTCACATATACATATATTCATACATATACATTACACACATACAAATATACATACACATACATACATATATATACACATATTTTCATATACACACACACATACACATACATTACATACATACAAATATACATACATATACATATATATATATATACATATTTTCATATACACAAACACACATACACATTCACACATATACACATATACACATACATAAATACTCATACATATATACAATATACATACACATACATATTCACATTCACATATATATACACATACACATACATAAATACACACACATACACATTCACACATACATACACATTCACTTACACACATATATAAACACACACATACACATTCACACATATATATACACATTCACTTACACACACATACACATACATAAACACATACAAATACATGAAACACACACATATATATACATAAATAGATATATATTACCTTATGGGAGAAATTTGGCGATCTTTGGAGGATTTAGAAAAAAAAAATCGATTTTATTTTTTTTTCTGAAAATTTTTGAAGTCTAATGAAGAAGACGACTCGTGGTTTTATATTGCGTTTTGCGACGGAATTTTCCGTCGCACTGAAAATTTTTGAAGTCTAATGAAGAAGACGACTCGTGGTTTTATATTGCGTTTTGCGACGGAATTTTCCGTCGCAATCCGTAACAAAATAAAATTAATTTACGCGCCCAAAATTCAAAAAATTTCGTCGAAAAATGAAACCAAATACATTGCGACGGAATATTCCGTCGCAATCCGTCGCAATTTTTATTTTCCGTCGCAAATCATCTATTTCTTTGTTGTGACAGAATTATCCGTCGCAAACCGTAGCAAATTGCGACGGATTTTGCGATTGTTTGTGACGGATAATTTTTTTCCACATTCTGTCGTAAAATCGTCACATTCCGTCGCAATTTTCTGTGCGACGGAAATTTCCGTTGCAAATTCCGTCGCTATATGCAGGTTTTTTTGTAGTGTATGCGTCCAAGCGAATTTCCTCCAAGTGGTGGAGCTCTAGCACACGTTTTTTCTGCTGCGGTTTTTCAATCATAATTCAACGCTTTAATCGCCCAATATGCCTTGTACTCCAACTCAACCGGTAGGTGGCAAGCTTTCCCATACACTAGTTGAAACGGAGTCATCCCGATCGGTGTCTTAAATGCTGTCCGATATGCCCAAACCGCATCTTCAAGCTTCAAAGCCCAGTCTATCCTTGACTTGGCCACTGTTTTCTCCAAAATTTGTTTGATCTCCCGGTTAGAGACTTCCACTTGACCGCTCGTTTGGGGATGGTAGAGAGTGGCTACTCTATGGTGAACACCGTATTTAGTCAATATGCCCTGAATCACTTTATTAACGAAGTGTGCCCCTCCATCACTTAACACCACTCTTGGGACTCCAAACCGAGGAAATATTACTCTTTTGAACATCCTCGACACCGTGCTTGAATCATTCTTCGGACTAGCAAGTACTTCCACCCATTTTGTCACATAGTCAACTGCCACAAGGATGTATAAGTTACCGCAAGATGATGGAAACGGTCTCATAAAGTCTATTCCCCATACGTCAAATGGTTCCACCTCCAATATAAAGTTCTGTGGTGCCTCATTTCTCCGCGAGATATTACCCGTTCTTTGACAAGCATCACATGAACATACAAAAGTGTGCACATCCTTGAACAATGTTGGCCAATAGAAACCCGATTGTAGGATCTTTGCAGCTGTCTTGGCCGAGGCGAAATGCCCTGCGTAATTCGATGTGTGGCAATGATGTATTACTTGCTTCACTTCCTCCTCCGGAATGCATCTTCGGAATAATCCGTCCTTACCTCTCTTAAACAATAAAGGTTCATCCCAAAAGTAGTCTCTAACATCGTGGAAGAATTTTTTTTTCCCGTTGTAGCTTAGCTCCGGGGGTACCACTGATAACTCCTATTCTTCTCTATATTTTTATGAGAGTTTGTCTAGATTTTACAGGATAATCACATGCATTCATAGGCATTCTAGACGTGTTAGGACATAAAAACCGGTTGTGCTTTAGTTTTGCAGAGTTACAGGTTTCGAAGATGATTGGATGCGAAAAGGAACGTTTTTGGAGCGTTAGAGATGAAGTTCGAA